CTTTGGGTTCCATTACCTTGCTTGAGTGACTCACAGAACTCAGAGAAACACTTTACTTAACAAAAAACCTCCAATTTATTATAAAAGGATTTAACTCTGGATCTTCCAGAAGGAAGACAGGTTCAAGTGTGGGGCACAGTGCAAAACTCCTATGCCCTCTCCACGTGTGCCACTGTATCAGCACCTTCACATGTCCACCAACCTATACACTCTCCAAACCCCGTCCTTTTGAGATATTATACGGTGCTACATAGACAAGATTGACTGAATCATTAGCCATTGGTCTGCTCTTCTACCTCCAGCCTCATTAACATAACAAGACACCTTTGTTGCTCTCATCATTGAGGAAATGCCAAGGGTTTTAGGAGCTCTGTACCAGAAACTGGGATAAAGAACAAATACATATTCCTTATGAGAAGTCACATCCCAATGATCAAATTACATTTTTTTCTTATTAGGAAGCTAATTTTAAAAAAGATGCTGTCCTCCTGCCAAGTGCTAAGCTCCTCTTTTCCTTGCAATGCCCTGTCTCTCTTCTCTGCTTTACCCTGCCTCATTCTGTATTAAAATGGCATCATTTCAAGGTAAGTCACTTCCTAGTTAAGGGTAGTGTGAAACTAGATCCCCCCCACCCCTCTCTGCATTATGTAATCTTTGGCTTACGGGCAAAATAAATCATCAAATGTGCCCTTCACAAGGTGAACCTAGAGAATACCTTTTGAATAGCTTACTATCCTTTGGCTTTGTAGAGACTATATAGTGACCAGAAAGCAAAAGTGTTGGCCATCCTTTATAAATGAAACAACTTTGTGGGGTATAATAATCACCTGTTCTTTTTTTTAATTTTATTATTTTTTACCTTTAGTAGAAGAACTGGGGTGTGGGGGTGTGAGAGGATTCATCAGAGACAGAGTGGGGAACAGAACTGGCAGACTGACTGAAATACACTGCTGAGGGGAGCAGCAAGCCAGACAGGAGAGGTCTGTTACACCATATGTGGTTTAGCTCCCTGGCCAGGGATCAAACTCAGGCTGCAGTGGTGATAATGCTGAGACTTAACTCCTAGCCACCAGGGAGACACAATAATCTATTCTAGATGACAGTTCATTAAAAATAGTTTGTCTATAAGTACACATCAATTACCAAGTGTATATTAAACACAAAAAGAATTAGAAAATATCTAAAACATTCATCATCCTTTAGTTATCAATAGCACCTTACAGACCCATCTCTACCATGCCTTTTTAGTAACAGATTCTCATGTATGATTTTCAAAAATGGTGTGTGGTTTATACGTATTTTAATGTATAGATTAGGATTTATAATCTTGTTCCAGAGTTTGCATTCTGCCATACTTGACAGTTTATTTTAAAGTTCTACATAAAGTTAAACTTTTTAAAACCTAGTATGTATATATGTATATATGTTTGTGTTTATATATAATCACATACATACATACATACATATAAGTGCCTATATGTGTGTGCAGGAGGATACACACGCACATACCGATAGACAATAGAAATGAGAAATGAGGATGTTTAAAACATGCTGACTATTATAACCATGATTTTAATACTCAATGTGAGCAAAACTAGGTAACATTATTTGATATTGTGAAAAAATTCCGGTTTTTATTACCAGAAAAAGTTGATTAAGTGTGTGTGTTTACATCTTTGGTTGGACAACAGTTAAATATGCTCCTGGCACCCAGCAGAGAGGCCAGAAAACATTCTACATGTACAGAATAACCTTTAAAATTAATATATATTAGAAGCTATAATATCTGTCTCAAAATTACCTTAGTAAAAAGGACCTTCTGGACTGGCAGGTGTTGGGAAAGATTGTGTTTCTTGTTTCCCTTTATATTTTATATATGAGCAGATTCTTGTGTGCAACAAATACTAAATACATATTATATTGGGTTGAACTGAAAAAGTGCATAGCTCGTCTGGACACCATTCAGATGGGTTTAAAGATTTAGTGTAAGTATTCTAAAAATATGTTTTCCCATCCAGAATCAGTAATTATGGTAGATTTAATTCAATAACAGGTGAGTAGGCATCTTCTGGATGTCTGTCACTTTGTGAGATGTTCTGCAGCATATAAAAGTAGCACTAAATTCATTTCCTGACCTGGAAGATTTTGCAATCTAACCCAAGAGATAAAGATATCCTTAGAAAATCATTTGGTTACAGAGAAAAACAGCACATGCTTAAAAGTGTGAAAATGAGTATCTAGTGCAGTAAGAGTTTAAAGAATAGAAAGAGAATCGAGCTGACCCTTAACAGACCAATGGATAAAAATTCACTATGACAAGCAATGAAGGGAATTTATTATAAGGCAGGAAAAAATCATATGAACAAAACTAAAAGGAGAAGACCATGGGCAGGTTCATAGGGACTAGAAAGACTACCCTAACTAAATCAGGTAATAGCTTAGAGCTGCTATGATGTGGCTAAATTATGTGAGGATTGAAGATTGAGTGAAGAGTCATAGGCCTACCCTGTAAAATATCTAAATCTATGAATGGAATAAAACACGCTGTCTACAACAATTTGGAAATCATGTTTTCACTCTTTCACATTTAAGGTGATCATTTAGCTTAAGGTGGTTTAGCATCATTTTTCCCACAAGTCCAGACCTTTGTGCTATATAAAGCCATACTCTGACCTACATAGTGCACCGAGTATTACATAATAGTGACCATCAGCAAATATAACCGTATCCCCAGATAGCTTTTCCCCCTTGTAACAATAGAGATAGCAAGAGTTGTCATTTCAGAAGAGAACTGCTCTAATTAAAGAATTATTTTAATTACCTTAACTGAGTCTTAATATTATGCTTGTGTCAAGGGAATGAAAGAATAAGTCTTCTGTGTGGTCGAGTCTTGCAGAAGATAGAAATGAATTAATAAATTGATGTTGTTAAGCCTTATTTGATTTATTTCAATGTATGTATATATTGAGCTGGTAGATAAATGGAAGAAGGACTAGATCATTGTCTAAAAAGAAAAATTTACTGTACACCTAAGTGTAGTTCTCGTAACCCTTTCTATTTGTTAGGATCAACTTTCCTGACTGAAGTCCCAGGAATTAGAACTTTAGAGAATAAACTTTTTATTAGGGATAAGAAGAGCTTCAATGAGATAACAATTAATGATTAATAAAAACGTCCAAAATAGATGAACCAGTGTGTGATTATATACTTTTAAACCTATAAATATTATAGTCATCTATACAGCAAGAATTCTTAAATCCCCATAAAAGAAACTTTTGGTAAATGTTAATTCACCTAAAAACTTGCTTGTTAGGAATCAATTCAATTGCATATTACAGCCTTACTTGTGGTGGCTTAGTCAAATGGAGATTTGCGGTTCTTTAAGGTAATTTGAGAAGAGAATGGGCAGAGCTCTTATAGGTGACTCCATGATGCCATTTACAACAAAGTTCATCTTGGTTTTCTTATAAACATTCATAGATAATTTCCAGTTATATTGCATTGTCCAGAAATATGTCACATTACCACCCCATATGAGAGGTAAGCTGATAAATAAAGTTTTGAATTGTGCACATTGCAGTCTAATAAGAGTATGAAAGAAGGGGAAGAAATAAGCAGGTAAACTATCAACAACACAAAATCAGTGATTAGAGTGTGACAAAAGCCATTATAATATGTCTGTTAAAGCACTACTAAGTGAATTGGGAACCCCAATATCCAGGCGCCACTCACAGTCCATCTTGCAGGTTTTCTTCAACTAGGTTATTGCATGCTTTAAGTTACATTTTTGTCTAAAGAATTTCTTGGAAAGAAGATAGTCCAAGCACAGCTTAGATCTATTCATAGGAAAGATATATATGTAGTATTGCTATACTTACCAAGGGCAAGAGTGACCTATAAAGATTTCTGCTTACTCAGAAAGCTACCTACCAGTTGATATATTGTGGTTGGTAAGTGACAGAGCTAATTCAAGATAGTGAAAAAGGGAGAAATAGCAGGAAGGGTATAATCCCTTTACGTTCCCAAAGGATTTCTGCTTTTTGTAAGTAAGAAACAAGTGGTGTAATCTTAAAAGCTGTCAGGAAAACCAACTCAGTGTCTCATAGTATCTGGCACATAGTAGGTGCTCTCAAGCAACATTTGTTGATCAAACCTTAGCAGAGGGTGCACAAAAATAGGCTAAAAAGAAATATTCTCCATTCACTTTAGTGAAGCAGTCAGAACATTTAGTCAGCACCCATTCTATGTGAATAAAAACTGAGGTGCCCAGAGTAAACGCTTGCTGTGATCTCTCCCCTGAAGGTCTTGCCCTGCCTTGTAAGTGACATGGTAGATTCTTTGGATTTGTTTCTCCAATGTTAATTAATCAAATTTATAATAATTGGTTTCTAAGCTAGTTGGTCACCAAACAGATGGCTAAAATTAAAAAAAAAAAATCAATCTAAAGCCAATTTAAAATCAATTTAAAATTTTAAGTGTTTAAGATGATTTTAGAATTTCCCAAATCATCATGTAAGTCAGCTTGAAATGGAGGTTAGTATTTACCAGTCAATGAATTAGTTGATCAAACTCTGAAATTGTGTTGAGGGGTATTTGAAGGTGCACAAACAACAACTTCAACCCTTGACATTTAATGATCCATTCAGAGATACAATATGTTTGCAGGGGGCAAAAAATCATGTCACGGTGTCACATTTGACTGGCAACTTGTCAAGGTAATAGAATAGACAAGGCATGTTTCATTTTGCCCAGAATACCAGTAAATTTGGACTTAATTAAAATGGAAAAATGAATTCAAATATATCCTGTCATGTAACTCAAAGTTTGAGACCCAAATAGGAGGATCACAGCACTTTGAAAATTGGAGTATAAAGTACTATTTAGCATAGATCATATATAAGAATTTCACTTGTATAATAGAAGGAGATAAAAATAATTATTCTTTTTCTTCTTTTTTTTTTAATTAGGCCATGGAACTAAAGGAGTGTTTGAGCTTCTGTCTGGATGGCGGAGGACCAGAGAGAATTTGCCCTTCAAAGACAGGGTCGCAGATGCCTACTCTGATGTGATGGTCACCTACACCATGACTAGCTCCCTTTACTTCATTACCTTTGGCATGGGCGCCAGCCCTTTCACAAATATAGAGGCTGTGAAGGTCTTCTGTCAGAACATGTGTGTGTCCATTCTGTTGAACTACTTCTACATTTTCTCCTTCTTCGGCTCCTGTCTAGTCTTCGCTGGCCAACTAGAGCAAAATCGATACCATAGCATCTTCTGCTGTAAGATCCCTTCTGCAGAATACCTGGACCGCAAACCTGTGTGGTTCCAGACGGTGATGAGTGATGGGCATCAACAGACATCCCATCATGAGACCAACCCCTACCAGCACCACTTCATTCAGCACTTCCTCCGTGAACATTACAATGAGTGGATTACCAATATCTACGTGAAGCCATTTGTTGTCATACTCTATCTCATTTACGCCTCCTTCTCCTTCATGGGGTGCTTGCAGATCAGTGACAGAGCCAACATCATCAACCTACTAGCCAGTGATTCCCCAAGCGTTTCCTATGCCACAGTTCAGCAGAAATATTTCAGCAACTATAGCCCGGTGATAGGATTCTACGTCTACGAGCCCCTTGAGTACTGGAATAGCAGTGTCCAGGAGGACCTCCGGAAACTCTGCAGTGGGTTTACTGCAGTGTCCTGGGTGGAGCAATATTACCAGTTCCTGAAAGTTAGCAACATCAGTGCCAATAACAAGAGTGACTTTATCAGTGTCCTGCAGAGCTCCTTTTTAAAAAAGCCAGAATTCCAGCATTTTCGAAATGATATCATCTTCTCCAAGGCAGGGGATGAAAACAACATCATTGCATCCCGACTGTATCTAGTGGCCAGGACTACCAGAGACAAGCAGAAGGAAGTCATAGAAGTGTTGGAAAAGTTGAGACCCCTGTCCCTCTCAAAGAGCATTCGTTTCATCGTGTTCAACCCCTCCTTTGTGTTCATGGACCATTATGGCTTGTCTGTCACAGTGCCTGTTCTGATTGCAGGTTTTGGTGTTCTCCTGGTGTTAATCCTGACATTTTTCCTGGTGATCCACCCTCTGGGAAACTTCTGGCTAATTCTTAGTGTCACCTCAATTGAGCTGGGCGTTCTGGGCCTAATGACTTTATGGAACGTCGACATGGATTGCATTTCTATCTTGTGCCTTATCTACACTTTAAATTTCGCCATTGACCACTGTGCACCACTGCTTTACACATTTGTATTAGCAACTGAGCACACCCGAACACAATGTATAAAAAGCTCCCTGCAAGAGCATGGGACAGCCATTTTGCAAAATGTTACTTCTTTTCTTATTGGGTTGGTCCCCCTCCTATTTGTGCCTTCGAACCTGACCTTCACACTGTTCAAATGCTTGCTGCTCACCGGGGGTTGCACACTTCTGCACTGTTTTGTTATTTTACCTGTGTTCCTAACCTTTTTCCCCCCTTCCAAAAAGCACCACAAGAAAAAGAAACGCGCCAAACGAAAGGAAAGAGAGGAGATTGAATGCATAGAAATTCAAGAGAACCCTGATCACGTCACCACAGTCTGAAGGGTGTAGACTAATGGATTGTTTTTCTTTTCCAGTATTGCACAACGATGCAGGGCAAGTAAAGCTCAGACCTCAGCTGCTTGGGCTGGCCAGGGGTAACAAGGCAAGTCAGATCAAGAGCGAATTATTCATGACACCCAAGGTATTCACTTCTTGGGGGGAAGAGGGAATCAAAGAAGGGGGGGAAAGTTCTTTGCTACCTTGTTCTCCACTAAAGATAAGCTTCTGGATGTGATCTTAGAGCTCTCCCAAGGAATGGAAGAATCCATGGAGTGTTACAAGGCAAAACGAACCAGCTGCTTTGAAAAAGAAAATGCTTAGGAGAGATGGAGAAGACAGGAAAGGGGCCTCCACTAGGGAACAAAACAACATAATTGTCAACATTGCCATGGCTCTTTTCATATTTGTTTTTTGAAAAGGTTGGTCAAAGGAAACCTATGCACTTGGGAAGTACAATTTAATCCCGTCTAAACCAAAGGACTTCCCAATCCATTTTATGTGTACATTTATGTATATATCTTATATATACATATACTTAGAGTTGTCTTTAGTGTGCATTGACATTTGTGTGAAGGGAGGTGTTCATTTCCAGATAAACTGACCTTTCTCTAGAAAGTCAAATCAGCCTTAGCCAAATATAAATACATTAATGCCCATTCAAAAATCAATGCAAGTGCTTCACTAGCAAGAGCATCATTCAACTGTACAATAAGCAAAAGGGTGAGGTGGGTGATCTGATTCTATATAGAATGCTATCTGTTTTTTGAGATTCTTCCTTTGGATGAATTAGAAAATAAACAAAACTATATTGAATTAATTACCATGTGGACAGGGTTTAAAATCTCATGGCAGAGCTAAATAGTTGATATGACTTCTGATTGGCTTTGACTGGTTCTGTCTTTTAGAAAGGCTGATTTGGCTGCTTTTAGAGAATGTACTTTCTATAAATGAGCACTTTGCACATGTTGTCTACACCTGTGTGTATAAGGATAGGAGTGTGTGTGTGTGTGTGTGTGTGTGTGAGAGAGAGAGAGAGAAAGAGAGAGAGAGAGAGAGAAAGAAAGAGGAGGTATTCCATAGTTACGGTATTCTCAGATGGAGAAAATGTACTGCCATGGGATACAGATCGTTAACATAGGAGAAAGCAGACATAACTAGAAAACGTCTTATAAGTGAAATGGGCCATCAGTAGTCATCGTGTGCCATCCACTAGTTCTTACTGCAAAGAAGTTATGCTAATCCTATCAAGTCTAGTGTGCTCCTTGTGTTAGTATTTGGAACAGTAACCCAGGGCACAATAACAACATTAGTGGTTACTCTAACTACTGCAATACTGTTTGGTAGCTTCTTGCCATGTTATTGTTTTTGTTACTGGAAAGTGCATGTCAGTTGGCCCATCTCCTCCCCATGGTGACCATAGCTCTCCACAGGGGGTCTATTCACTGTAATAACTGCTGAATTCTCTCTCTCACAAAAAACACTGAGGTAATTGTTTTCGTTGAGTTAAAGTTTAAAACTGCTCCCCAGCAGATAGACACAGTCTGTTGGATGCTTCCTTGGATTAACGTTATGTTTCCTGTCACAGAAAATTACTAGAAAATGCCTTTTCCCATGCCAAGCAGTAAAATAAGTTCATTTACAGGTAGGACTGAACAAGTGTCCATGATTTATAAAATCTGCTAGTAAGCTCTTTCACCTGGAAGAGAGCTACTGTTTCCCAGAAAAATTGGTAGAATATTTTAATTGAATTAAAAATGTAAAAATCCAAAAAAAATAAAATGAAATCCTAGACTCAGTTAAATTCAGAAAAGATACAAACCATTCCAGCCTGGTTACAGTTCTTGGAAATGAGGATGATAGATTAATGAAGAAACACGACAAAACAAATGTATTTTTATAAATAAAGAGTTCACCAAAATATTAAAGGAAAGGGGAATTGTCTCTAAAATGAGAACCATTTAACCAATTGTATTTTATTGAATGGAGTTTGTTTTGTCCTACCTTGAGGTTACGGAGTTTCTAGTAGAAATAATCCATGTCTTCTCAATGATGTTCATCTGGGTATAATATTAAAAGATCAAGTATGGAAAATAATTTCTATAAACATAGTTACTGCCTTTATATTATCGTAAAGTCCTGTCACAGATAGCCCTAGCCTTTTACCTCCTGAACTACTCTGCTATGATGAGCTGGTATTTGGCAAGAGTAAACCTCCAGACCATGATCTCATATCTGAAGTAGCAATGTCTGATGCACTGGGTTTTGGGGGAGGAGAAAAGGGGGGGTTCTTTCACAGTGTACTCATGATGCATGAAAATGTGTTTTGTATCCCTTTTTAAAGAGAATTCCATTAACTGTTAATCCATTTCTTTCCATGGCGTGTCATACTCTATTCACCAGCTTTTTCAAAGGTTGTCCATTTGGGTCATTTTTTCCTTAATTATCATGGACAATTTAATATGCAAAGAAGATTGGCAGGATGATTTAAAAGAAATAATCAAGATTGCCAGTTGCATGTACATATGGGGATAGTGGTATACTATACGTTGCCGACCCCTGGGGCAATTCTAACCTCATGTGTCCACCTGTTATAGACACAGTCTCTGTTTGGATGTAGAAAAATAGTTCTTTTTTTAGTTTTTATCTTCAATCATCAGAGTGACGAAGATAAATGTGAATTTCTCATTGTTCAGGTGACTAGATGGGTAGAATTTTGGAAGGGACATTATCTTTTCCAGGATACCATGTAACTCTTTAGTGAACTATAGCAATAATTTACTGAAATGGAATTCCTTGTTCTGGAAGAGTTAATATGCCACCCAAAATGCCCCAACTCAGTCCTAGGAAACAATTTAGGCTCAGAAAGAATCTAACAGAGCATCATCTGACCTCCCAACCTCACTGTGAAATACATAATTCCAAGAATCTCATTTAGTGAATGCTAGGATACATCCTAAAATATGAGATCATGATTTGCAGGTAACGTCCACCCTCTACCCTTTTTTGGTAACTTGTGTGCAACTTTTCCCTCATTTTTCAAGCTTATTCCTGTTATTTTGTCCATTTGTAAATTACTGTGAGTGTTCAAGTTAGAAACTTATCTATCTACTGCTAGAAAATGATGATTCAACTCCTGGAAAAGAAGAAACCTGTGGTAAATACCTCAAATATTATATTTAGTTGAAACACATTTTTCCTTAAAGTAAGAGATTTCTAAAGTTTGCAAAAATTACACCTTTTCTGAATTTAAACTGGAATGTGGATTTGTTTCCTCCCAACAGAATTTAAATTTGCATTAGAAAGTACCTTAAGAGTTCTACTCTTCATGATTAGTAAAGCGTCAGAGGCACTCACCTAAATTACAGAGAGAAATTTGAGTAACACTTATATTTATATTCTTCACCTTTTATGGTTAAAGATAATCATATGCTAGTTTAGACCATGTATAGCTAAAGAAAGGTGAGCTTAAAATGTCATCCCATGAATTCTCCCAGGGATTATGAACCTCTTTGAATGTTGTGCATGAATATTCTATGAAAGAATTATACTTTTTTGTGGTTGTATCCTGTGAGTATTCTTTCCCATTTGATTCCTATTTATTTCCACAGATTTTCAGTTTTACCTAATGAGGTTAGAAGTATTTTGAAGTAAAGCTCCTATGATGCTATAATAGCCATTCTTGAATGTTGAATTCAAGAGGGTAAGAGTTTTGTCCATTTTGTAATTACCCATTGCACCTTGCCATAAAAAGATAATCCTTCTAGGCTTGTGGTCAGAGCTAGGGATTAACTATTGCCATTCAGAATTACATGTATTTTTATAAGTTGACTGTAAATATCATAATTACAGTCACATATTTTTATGCCCAAATAGTTATGAATGCCCAGCACTATGCATGCGTTACTAATAGTACATAGATTTTTAAAGACACTATTTTCATGGTTATTGCAACTTTTATTAAAATTCTCATATTACCTATTCATCAATGCCTTGTGGGTTTTGGCTCCAAGGGCCTGAAGTCCTTAGAAGTTCCACACCGATGAAAACAATTTAAAAGTTACCCTCCTGGGTGTCAGTAGTAGCAACCTCTTCTAGAATGTCCTCTGGAAGTTCCTGGAGGCTAGATATGGCTTCTAGATTCTGTGTTAGTTGGCAATTAAGTATATTTTAATGTCCTCTGTTCACTAATCTCATGGCTAATCAGAGAATATACTACCTTGAGATTGGAAATTAGATGTTGTCTCCTAGGTATTGGCAAATTCAATGATTTGCTCAACCTCTTTCCAGAGGAATCTCTGTTCAGCCTATTTTGTTGGTATTTATAAATGGTATTGATAAGCCTTTCAAATGTGAACCTGAAAACTGTCATTTATTCAAAAATAGCTTTAGAAGCATTTTTTTCTCTTTTAATACAAACAAAAAAACCCTATTGTTCTTTATGTGTTACCAAAAAAAAAATTACAACAAATTTCATGACATTGACTCAAAACCTATCCATTGCTGAACTGATATGTCCTTTAGATGTCCCCATCTTGAATCTAAATATAAATCTCAGCATCATCACTATGGTGCAGACATTTACACCAATCATTTTAAGCAATGTTCTGCCCATATATTGAGTAGGAGGGAAGGTAGATTCTGTTTTTAGTGGTTTATCTGCAAATATATTGATCCAAGTGAAAGTGGCCAGATTATAAATGAAAGCAACAAAGTCACTTTGCATCAGGTCCAGTTTGAGTGAGACTATGTAAGTATAGTAGCAGCAAATTACTTTGATATATAAACTAAATGACCCACCATCATGTACTAGTTTGAAGGGCAAGAGATAGTGTTCTATATTTGAACTGTTGTGGAGTTTGGACTGGGTAACATTTAGAAAAGATTGAAAGCATGTTGAAAAATGAACCTCTAAGTTTATAAATCAATATGTCTGTAAATCAGCATCATAGAACAGGTGGGAAAATTCCACATATTTTACAGTTTAGGATATAGTATAGATACTTGCATGATGCCTCAGAACTATAGATTCTTAGCTACTAGCCTCTGATATGTCAGATCTCTTACCTGACCTTTGTAGGAAAAAATG